TATGTTTACCAATAGTGGGAGAGTAGATTGCTTTGTAGCGGCACAGGTCCCGGCATAGATTCCCGCACTTACTACAAGGAACAACGAGTTTGCCTTCCCGCTACCTGGCAGCGCACTACAAGCTCGCCCGTGCAACATACCGAATATTGTATCTTTTATTTCTGATTGTTGTATTATAAAATACTTAAATTGTAAATTGATATATGCACATTCATTGTAAATATTTTTTATTAATAAAGTTTAATGGTGATAACATATACTGATCAAAGCTCAAAAATAACTGTCATTGTAACGGCTCTTGGTAGTTGTAGTATTGGCGGAATGAATACCTCAGTCAAATCTCGAATTGATAGATCTACGGATCTCCACCCCTTCAGGGTGTAGACCTTCATGCAGATGATCAGTATATGTAACATATACGCTTTTGGTTCGCCTTAGTCTGCTCTTCTTATTTAACTATATCATGGTACCTTTTTCCTCTTCTCTTACTCAATTCAAGTTGGACGCTGATCCGTCCTCTTGCAGTCCTATATACTAAGTCAGGAGATTAACCCTTCCGTTAGTATCTCATCCTCCCACAAGTCCGGAGTTTGATCCCTCTGGTTGTGGTTACCATCCTTGCGGAGTGTTAAGCTTGATCTCTTACACCGCAGGCCGAGAGTGATTGGGTGCTGATCCGCCTGTCACTTAAGGTCATCCATCTAGTCATCTTCCTACATCCACTAAGTCATCTTTACTCCTCTTAACTGAACACGCACTGTCGAGGCCTTCTGGTAACTGCTTACTGCCTCTGCATACATTCCTCGACAATTCCTTACCAATCTTCGAATTGAAATCGCCTGCGACTATTAATACATCTGAACAAGGACACGCCTTAATAGATCTTTCTTGCAAGTCATAGTACTCTTCCTTGGTTTGCTCATCTGAAAGGAGCATGGCAGCTGAACAATGTATAATTAAAGAATTTCCCTTTTATCCTGATAGAGCTCATTCAAGGGCTTCCAGGCTTGAAATCAATGATGAGTTGCCTGAGTTTCTTCCCTACAACCACTGGCGGATCCAGGATTTAATTTTGAGAGAGGCTTCAGTCCAAAAGCTTTTTTTTTTTCATAAAAATAACGATTGTTACTTTGGAAAAAAACAACGAAACTAACTACCTATATGAAATGGTGTTAAAGTGATTCCTAAACTCCTTTTAAATGTAATTACGCGAAGAATAATACTTTAAGAGATAATTTTTTAATTTTTTTTTTTCCATAAAACATGGTTATATTTTACCATTTTGGAGGGGGGGGGGGAGGTCTTCAGCCCCAAAGCTCCCCGTAGATCTGCCCGTGCCTAAAACAAACCCAATTCCAAAGTAGTGTGATTTATTGTCACAGCTGTAGTACTTTTCTTTTCCTTTCGATAGATCCCTGTCCAGTCCATCGGATCGGAAGTGCAGTAATGTCAATTCCATAGCGGTCTATTTCATCTAAGAGCAGTTTAGTTGCTCCGGGTTTAAACATTGTTAAAACGTTCCACGATCTAATATAAAACGATATATAGTTGTAGTCCAAATGACGGGTGCTATGTTGTTTTCTTGTAGAAAGTCCGGCTTCTAGATGTTGAGATTTCCTGATAAGATGGCTTTAGAGGAGCTGGTTAGCAACCAGCTACCTCTGAGTCAGATGGAGAGGCTGCCTCCTTGGAGCATTCTGACACGCTCCTCTATCCGGAGAGGCTACCTAGAGAAGGCGATCCTTGGTAAGTATTGTTATTGACCTTGGTCTTCAATGTTGGGGTGGTTGTAGTGTGCTGTTAATCGTATGGTAAAATTTAGGACTGCTACAGCCATTTTGGTGCGACCGGTGCACAAGTTAGGGCCTCTCCCTTCTGAAGTAACCTTTTATTGATATGAATATATATATATTTTATTTTTTTTTACTTAAATATTGAGGAGTCATTTTATTTTAGATTAATGGTAATTTATTTGCATACCTTTGATCTGGGTCACTTTATTTCTAAGTTTCCAAAACTCTATTTTGAACAATTTCTCTCTTTCTTTATTGTAAACCAATCAATTTTCCTCTCGTTTTTGCCTTGCCTGGTAATCACCAATATCTGAGTTTGTTTTTTTTTCTTTTTTTGGTTTGTGAAATGAGATATTTCACGGTGGGAGATATGTTTGTGTGAAAATGGTTGAAATTTCCCTCGTTACGGCGGGTGATTGGTGAAGTGGTGGTGCAGATCAGAAGATCTAAAAGATAACTCTTAATCCGCAAAAGTTGTCGGTTTCTCGGAGGCCAGAACAGCACAGATAGTCGGACGCGGCAGAAGTTCCTGGATGCTACGAGGGCCCTCAAGGTAACAAAGAGATGTATGCTGGCATAAAGATGGTAAGCTATTTTTGCACAATCAATATAACCTACCAATCCATTAAAATACAGTCCACTACTTAAAAGTAGAATGTTGGCATTAATTTTGAATGTTGCCTATTAAGAACTCATGAGAGTTATTTGCCTTGCCTGAATTAAAAATTGAAAAGTTGCCTAAACACTAAGCTTTGTGATAATCTATAGTTTTGGAAATCCTAATTTTACTCGTTAGATGAGAATGACCTATACAGGATATATGATTTACGAATTTGTTTTTAGTATAGTCAAGGTACAGTGGGTCAAAAAAGTATTGGCACTCTCCAATTTTTATGCAAAACTCAATGGGATTAAGATGTTTTCCAGAAATAATATTTATGTAACAAAGTCGTCTTTGAGTATTATATTATAGAAGCAATGCATGTTTAGAATTCAAAAGCTATGTTTAAAATAAAAATAAAGAGTAAATTTTGAGGGTCAAAAAAGTATTGGCACAGTTTTAAATGTTTACTGGTAGCTCCAGTCTAAAAAAATTACTCATTTTTCTTTAGAGAGATTAGAAATGAGGATTGATGATAATACACTGAAAACAATAAATATCAGTCTTTGCTGTATATTTGCCATAACGACATGGGTAAACCAGTCAATATTGTGTCAGTTTAAAAAAAACATCATTAAATTACATTCTAATGGACCTAGCTACCGACAAATACTGAATAAATTAGAAATTGTTTTAGTAGTGTTCACAATATTGCACAAAAGTTTAGAAAGTTTTAAATAAACTACGTTCAGGAAAGTTAAAAAAATTAAATGGGAGGGCACAAAGGTATATCGATAAATATTTTTTAGCAAAATCACACTTTATCAGCCGCCGAAATAGCAGAAGAGGTCGCATATACTTCAAATACCACCTTCTGTTAGAAATATAATTCATATATACAATTATGATGTCACGTTTCAAAGGAAAAAATCTTTTATTACAGAGGTGAAACGCAAAAGAAGACCTGAGTTGGCCAAAACATTAATTAATAAAGACTTCGAATCTGGAAAAATGTTATTTCTTTAAATGAAAGTAATTTTAATATATTTCATTCTGATGATTGAGAAAAATTTATGGAGCTGTTTGTGAAGAGGGTGTGTGGAGGTATAGAAAAAATGCGGAGCTATATGAATTATATAACAGCCCCAACATAGTTAATTTCGTTAAAATTAGGCGTATGGAATGGTTAGGCCACCTGGTTAGAATGGACTACAGCAGGGTGCCTTATAGGGCATTGTTCTCTACAATGTATGGCACAAAAAGAAGGGGAAGTCCAAGAAAAAGATGGCTACAAGATATTGAGAGCGACCTTAGAACACTGGGCGTGAGAAATTGGAAGGAAAGAGCGAGCAATAGGGGTGATTGGCATGCTATGATTCAGGAAGCCAATTCCCACCCTGGGCTGTAGAGCTACATAGTAAGTATGTAATGTAAGTATTCTGATGATGACAAGTACGTTTGGTGAAAACTTGATACTAAGTTTTAAGCTCAACATTTGAGGCCCACTGTAAGACATTGAGGGGAAGTGTCCCAGTATGAGGGGGCATGTCATGGAATGGTGTTTGAAACTTAACCTTTATTGACAATATTATGAATGCCAATCAATATGTCGACATTTTGCGACATAATTTAACAAGTAGAGCCGAAAATATAAGGATCAAAGATGCATTTATCTTCCGAAAGGACAATGACGTTAGGCACACAACAAACAAAACAAAAGAATGGATGCTGTATATTGGCCCCAGCCAATGGAAAACCCACCACAGTCTCCGGACATAAATGCTAAAGAACATTTATGAATCTGTTGGCTTTTAAAAAGTAAGAAAAAATATTTTTTTTTTCAAAAAATTATTTAAAAGAAACTTTGTCAGAGAAATAGGGTAAAATGGGCTAAACCTAACTCAAAATCTTGTTTTGACGATGAAGATTGGCCAAGAAGATTCCCCGGTGTCATAGATGCCAAGAAGATTGCAGGGTGTCACAGATGCCAAATGGCATGATGGCAGAATATTAATACATATCAAGTTCGTGAAATAACTCTCAAATGAAAGTGTGCCAATATTTTTTTTCCGTGTTGAAGTGATTTTTCGTGCACTGTTATTTTAATTGAGTAAATTTAAATTATTTTTTAGAAATATCTTAGCGTATAGCGATGACACAGTAGGATTTTCTTGTTTTCGTTAATCTTCTTCGAGAAATAAATATTGACTCCAAGATGAAATTTGTAAATTATTGCATTTTTAAATTTCTATTATGCTTCAATCTACAGGCCAAGGATCTGATTTTTAAATAATAGTCTGCTTTAAATGTTAACATTTTTGCAAATATATTACATAAAAAAAATTATTTAGCTAGATTAGTTCTCATTTATAAGCTGCATTAAAATTCCATGCCTCCCTTTCTAAGGAGATGGCATTAGTCCTGCACTACAGGGAACATTATTTTGCTTACAGTCCTCTTTAATAAAGATTAGCAAAAAGTCAGAAGTTAAACCGTTATTAAAAACTATTTTTCAATTTCAAAGTATGTAGAAAAATTCGTCTTCAGTGAAGGATTCGGGAACGTCGATGATGACGTCATAATTTAAGAGTTAACAATTATTTTATTTTAGTCTCTTCTTTACCAATGAGATAAAAAACAGTAATTTCGGACCTCGAAGGTTAGAATATGTCTAGAACAATTTGAAGTATGCATCTTCCGTTAATGTCGGCTTACAGTTGTGTTTTTATTTAGTCTGTCATAGATGCTCAGTTATTTTAGTTTGTTTTTTAATGATAATATTTTTGAGTAATAATTGGATGAAGATTTAGTTGAGATTATTAAATTACACTGTTTATAATGGCTGAAAGTTCATTTTCTGAAAGTTTTACCCTGCTTGAGAACTCAAGTGCTAGCTTGAATGGGGTAAGTTATGTTAAGCTTCTATTTGATATTTGATTATTTCTTTGATAGAGGGCCAGTTCAAATGATTTGTTGTGTTTTATAAGATTTAATTAACTCCTAATGAAATATAACAATTATTTACTTAGGTTAGGATCCTGGATTATATTTTATAATAACAATGAAGCAATAACTCTATTTACGCACACCAGTTAATTATAATTTCAATTTTTGTCACCACCTTGTACACCATTATGTGCTGTAATCTGTTTTATATTTGAATTCAGAAGATTATTTGATGTTTGACACTATTTTATGTTAAATTATCTTTTTTATTTTTGTTTATTCTTAGCATCATTGCTTATCTTTAATTCCCTTTCTGTAAATCATAATAAATCACATGGATTTCGAGAATGATTTGTAATAAGGATTGGATTCTTGCATTCTTTTGTGTTGGCTTCAAAATAGTTTAATTAAAAACAATTCTAACATTGAAAAAGTTTGGAGAATAACATTTAAATTTATTATATCTTGTTATCTTCCTTATGATATACTAAGTATTGTCACATTTGACAGGTACGCCGACGTCATGTTGATAACAAAATTTATGGAATACGGAAATTAGCCGAATATGTCCAGAAGTATATGGAGATGAACAATTTCCAAATCTTTCTGATTATAATAAATATCTGTGAGAATTGTCTCATCCCGAAAGATTAGGTTTAATTATTCATGAAATAATCACAATTTCATTTTCCACTATTGGAAATTATGACCCCTTGTACTTTTTTGAATTATTTACATATTTTATTTAAATTAACTTTTAATTAATTATATTTATATACCTGCAATTTTATGTGGTGCTCTTTTATAAACGCCACTTCACTTTCATGGGTTGCACAAGATCTCATGTTCACACCATGATTGGAATTCCGAGGATGGTTGAGCATATTCGAAAGTAGACAGAAGTGACAACTGTGGTAAAGCCCGAGCAGGTGTAGCAATGTAATTAAAGCCAATTACTGCCCTAATTTTAATTGAAAAGGACCAGTAGGGAGTTTACGGAAATCGTAAGTCTTGATCTAATTAAAGGGAGGATATACTGTGAACACCTTATCAATCCTGGGTTATTATCAGAATCCCTTTTAGAAGAGAAAATCATCTTTATTCTGGGACTAGGTCATTTAAGAATAATAATATTGTTCATACAAATTAACAATAAATCTGGCCAACAGATCTGTTACAATAAGGAATACCTACAATATAAGTAATGTACATTGCTTTGAATATATATTAACGAAAGCAGATAGGTGCTATGGTTACGATTTTACAATATTGGTGCTAAAACAATATCATACAAATAACTAAATGAAATTAGGAAGGAACACTAAATAAATTTTATAGCCAAACCATTGTGATAAAATATTAAAATAAAAAATAAATAACTAGTATAAATAAATGATTTACATCTGTTCCTTAAGAAGTTTAAGTGAATACACATAAAGATATTGTGAAAAACTAGACAAATATTGTGATCTACCTATGAAGCGATAGATTACAAGGAGAATATATATATATACAGGGAGTGGGGTAGCTCAGTGGTAGGGTACTGAACTTCTAATGCTAAAGGTCCCAGGTTCTAATCCCGGCTCATGGCAGAAAAATTATTTATTCTGTTTTATTGGCCGTGGGGTGAACCTGAGTAGGTAGACATTCCTGAGGCACACCCAGCCTCTATAAAGTGGGTACCCTTAATTAGAATAATTCATTAAGGGGAAAAACCTAGCGGTTGAGCGTGATATCGGTCAAATAACTTCCTTGCACAACTATAGACCAAGAAACAGTGCTTTCCCTAAATATTACTGAATCCAAGACCCTTCATGGGTTGTAGTGGTACAGTTTTTGTTTTTTTTTTATATATATATATATATATATATATATATACACACACACACACACACACACACACACACACATAGAGAGAAGTGTATAAAAGGTAAGTAAAAAATAAAATACTTTTAAATAAAATAATATACATTTCTAAGAAATACAATGTTATGAATAGGAAAAGTAGAAGTTAAGAAAAAAAAAAAAAAAAAAAAATTACTGGATGATCATGAGATCTTTACCCACTCCTGAGAGTGGAGTGACATATTGGTAGTTGTACAGTAATACCTTTAATGTTTCTTGCCTATGAAAATCACGACTCCTTTTAATATATCATATCATTATCTTACGTTCAGGATATATTATATTCTTATTATCGAAATGAAAACAGTTTTTCTTTTTCTGACCCGAAGATAATCATGACTTAGTACTTTTTCGATTTTACTTCTTGAAAGTGACACTCCAACATGATGGATGGGCACACGATTACACTGATAGTGAAATTCTTAGCTAGTTGAACATGTCGGTCTTCTGATATGGTAGATTACATTTCCTAGACTATAACTTTAAAGAATCAGATTAATTGTTCCGAACATATAAATTTAATTAGATTATTTATTTATATAGGTAGTTACAAAATGTTTGGTATTTCTAATTAGTAAATAATTAATAATTGCATGAACCGACTTATCCGTAAAGGCTAGATTTCAATACCAGCCACTTATCAAAATAAACACTTTTATATTTCCGACAGTCGATTATCACGGCCTGCTATTCTATTTTCGTTTATTATCCACCATATAGTTTAAATCACATGCCGAATGTCAAATTGAACAACTTTTTTGTTTCTGACCAATAATTATTAATAATAACATAAAAGTAAAAAAAGCATATCTTCAAAGATCATTAATTGTAAAGCTAGGAATTAAATTAATATAATGATGATTGAAGTGTGGAAGCATAAAATTTAAATAAGACTTAAAGAACAATATAACAATGCGCTAACATTAATAAAGATGGTAAGGTTTTAGAAATAAGACTAGGATTGTAGTATTATTTAAATTCAATACTTGGAAATTCCTTTATATAACCTGTCTAAGGTTAATTTGATTTTGTGCTTAGAGCCAATATCAAAATGTGGTGACAGTACAGGAGTGTCACATCTGGATGACAGGTGGGCCAAGATCACATGATCGTACTACATAGAATGTGGGGACTTAGCCGAGCTTGTCTGCCTTTAAACAGGTTAAGTTAAGTTACATTTTAAACAATTTAGACTATAGTATATTGGCATGGGGATATAATTACAATTTATAATAGTGGATAATCTGAAAGTCTATTTAATCCGAAACTGATATTAAGATAAATTGTTGGAGCAAAAAGTAAAAAAACTAATTTAATAATTATTAAATAATTTAAGGTATTAAAATTATTAATCAGGCATTATTTACTGTTAGCGAAAGACCATAATAATATTAATTTTAAAAATCTTTAATTTTTTTGTTGATGAGAAGAATATCTCTCACTTGAAGCTAAGTTACACCAGCCTTTCAATTTTTAGTGTCTGCTGGAGTCGTAGTACCATTGCTCTTAGTAGCATAGTGCTTACATCAAATGCAGCTATAGCATCTGAGTGGGATTCTGTCGTCTTGCTTTGCCTTTTCTCTCCTCTGAGACATTGATAGATTTTTCAAAATCATTTCAGCAATCTGCTAATTGTTGTTATGCCAGCGTCCATCCACTCATACACATTATAGTCATTGGCTGCTTGCAACCAGAAATATTTTTTGAGAGCTCCTGTGCCTGTACAACATTCGTTCCTCTGCCACCTGGTTTGGGTTATTTATGAAACTTAAATTGGTCTTGGGTTAAAGTTTATTACAGGATTTTTTCAACTGATTTTTAGACATCCATGTGAAATAAACCGTGTGATCACAAGTACTAATATTTATTTAACCACATATTATTAAGTAATTCAAGTTATTTTGCTTAATCCAAAATGGATAGGGTTGCAATCATTTCGAATTATCAGGACTTAAATCTATTACAACTAATTATTAATAATTGAATCTAATTACTAAAGTAGTTAAATGCCAGTAATGTAAATAAAAAATTAAATATATACCTAAGTAAAAATACATTTAATGCATCTGTTATAAACTTTACACCATTAAGGTATATATAGACACCTCCAAATAACATATAATTTGAATTCTTTATGGCAGTAAATAAAAATATTCTTTTCATAACTTATTTGTGATATAATTAAATATTCTTTGATTTGTATGTTCACATGTAATAACAAACATATTACAGCATTACTTGGCTGCTATCTTTATCTATTTAACAAATTGATTTAAATTATCTATAGTCAAAGAAGATAGATTGATTTTACCAATTCGGTATATTACTTTTTTTTGGGTCCTCCCCTTCCTCGCCTTGAAGGCTATAAGGGGTTTTCCCGACCAGGGGGTGTGGGCGGGGATTTAGAACTTTTAACAGATAAAGCGTCAAACTTCCTGTCTTACTAGTGGGGCCAGGACTCCTGTTTTCTCTGTTGCCGGTGATCATTCTCAGGGGTGCTCATCCCCCCCCAAGGTCGATGACGCAAGAACCTTCCCCTTTCCCTTTTCCAAGATATTTTATTTCTCTCCTCTTCTTAATAACAGTGCAAACGAAAGTAAAATTTAAAAGATCATAGATCATATTCAATTACACTTTTTTTTTTTTTTTTTTTTCTTGGTCCTCCCCTTCCAATTTAAGGCTATATGGGGTTTTCCGGACCAGGGGGTGTGGGCGGGGATTTAAAAGACGCCTTGGCACCGGGACGCGAACTCGTGACTATTTTTATAACACATTTGTCATATATCAGGTTGCCGGGCAACAGTGGTGCTGTGCACAACGCGTTAGCCCATTCGGCCATCCCGCCCACACAATTACACTTACTGCGGTCTATTCCCTGTTTTTTTCTTGTCCTTAGTTTGAAACTTTCCATTACAAAAATTCATGACACTGCTGAAATGTGGTGCCCCCTCAAAAATTTTGATGGCATAATTTGTGCCATGAGACCTATTTCTGGGCATCCTTTACCATCTTGCCCCTCTACTACTCATGCCTAATGTTTTTTTTAGCCTTAA